GCTATTTTCTAGGCTACTGGGCCCTTTGGATACAAACAAGCAAGCAAATGAGCCCCTGCTCTCAATAAACTTATGTTTTAATGGAGAACAGTATGTACTTTGTGTGTGCGTGCATGTGTGCATGCATATGTGTGTGTGTGTATGTGTGCCTGCATACACATACAAAGCAGATAAAAACTAATACTGAGGTGGGGAAGAGGAAAAACTAATAGCTGATAATAAATAAATAAATATATGTATATGTGTATATATATATATATGTGTGTGTGTGTGTATATATATATATATTCTGACTTTCATCTCACCTGGCATTTCCCTACTCAGAGTGCCAATTTCAGGGCCTGTGTGACGGGGCTGGATTCAGTGCTTCCTAAAGTAAGCCTTGGGCCTCCGCCCCTGTGATATTGGATGGGGTTTATGCTCATTTGGGGTACCCCCACTCAGAGACCTGCAGAGTTCTGATCTTTATCTTTTTGAAGTCTTGGACAAAATGGAAGAACTTATTCCTGCCTAATTTTCATCTTCATCATTGGTCTACTTGGTGTGTGGACTTTTAGATCTTCTTTTGAAAGGTATGTTGGAGAGCCTAGCTCCTTTAAGATCTTTCATTTTGCCATCTTGACTTGAAGATGTTCATTTTTATTCTTCAGAAGTAATGTGATCATTTAATTGATCATAGTTCAAAAATATTTCTAGTTTTTTTCTTCTTTACATTATAATTATTTTTGGTGGGTAAAAGATGAAATGGGGGGGTAGGGAGCAGAGATGGTGGAAAAAATGCAAAAACTTACCTGAGCTCTCCCTGGTTTCTTCCAAATAATGCCTCAAAACAAATTCTAGAATGGCAGAACCCACAGAAGAACAGAAAAACAATTTTCCAGCCCTAGACAATTTAGAAGGTTGGCAGAAAATTTCTGTTGCATCAGAGTGAGAATGGAGAGCAGTCCAGAACAAGCTGTCCCTGCTCAGACTGGGCTCCAGTAAACCAAGAGCAAGTCTTGGGGGTGGCTGAATCAGGGGCATCATTTGTGGTTTCTGAACCTCTCAGTCCACTGACAGTAAGTGGATCAGACAACTGGTCAGAAGCAGATTACAGGACCAGTTCACAGTTCAACACTGATGTATCTATTTTCACACAGTCCCTCCACCATTTCTCATTTTCCTTTCTGGTCCACTTTTCCATGGGTATTAGCAGGAGTTTCTTTAATTTGAATTTTTCTATTAATAATTTGGAGCATTTTTTCATATGGATTGGTAAGCTTGGATTTCTTTCTCTGAAAACTGCCTTTGTCCTTTGTCCTTTTATCAATAGGGGGATGCTACTTGCTCCTGTAAGTTGGAATCAGTACATATATTTCTTAGAAATGAGACCTTTATGAGAGAAACTTACTGCAAAGATTTTTTTAAAAGGTGGTTAACCTGCCTCTCCAGACTTTGAAGCATGTAATTGGGCCCCAGTAAGATACAACATTGGGTTTATTTATTCAAAAACTTACTAATTTTGTATAATCAATTGTCCGTTTTTACCTTAACATTTCCTTAACATTTTTATTCACAAGTTGTTCTCCTACCCATAAATAATTTGTTTATGATTTCAAACTTTATGTCAAGTCTTACACTCATTTGCAGCTTTTCTTGGTATAGGGCATGAGATGTTGATCAATACCTAGTTTCTTCCAGACTTCATTCCACTGTTCTTAGAAGTTTTGGCTGTATAGTCCATTCTTGGGATCTTTGGTTTTATCAAACACTAGTATACTGTGCCTAATTGTTTATATTGTGTACCTAATCTGTTCCATTGATTGATTGTATTTTCATTAATCCATTTCATATTATTTTGATGAGTTCTCTTTTATAGTATCATTTAAGATCTGGTATTGCTAGGCCTCTTTTCTTCCCATTTCGCCAACCCCCCCTCCCCTTATTTCCCTTGATAGTCTTGATCTTTTTTCCCTTTAGATACATTATTTTTTTTCTGTCTCTATAAAGTAATCCTATGGTAGTTTGATTGGTATGGCACTGAATAAGTAAATTAATTTAGGTATTTTTGTACTTTTATTACAGTATTGCATACCCATAAGCAATTAATATTTCTCCAATTCCTTACATCTGTCTTTATTTGCATAAAGAGTGTTTTGTAATGGTGTTCATATGCTTCCTGTGTGTGTCCTGGTAGCTAGGCTCCCTAATACTTTAAACTATATGGTTATTTTAAATGGAATTTCTCTTTCTGTCTCTTCTTACTGAACTTTGTTGGTAATATATAGAAATATTGATGATTTCTGTGAGTTTATTTTATATCCCACAACTGTGTGGGGATATAAGCTGTTAATTCTTTAATTTTTTTTAATTTAATTTTTAATTTAATTATTTTAATTTTTTTTTGTTTACTCTAGGTCAATTTAAGTAAACCATCATATCATCTGCAAAAAAGTGATAATTTTGTTTCCTCTTTTTTTTTTTTTTTTTTGTTTTCTTATCTTTTGGCTATAGCTAGATTTTGATATGGAATAGCAGTGGTGATAACAAACAGACTTGTGCTTTTCTCCAGATATTATTGAAAATGCTTGTGTATTCAAATTATAGATAATACTAGCTTTTGTTTTAGATAGATATTTCTTATCATATTAAGAAAAGATTTGTTTACTCCTGTGGTTTCTATTTTTTTTTAAACAGCAATGGGTGTTATATCTTGTTAAAAAGTTTTTCTCAGGGCAGTTAGGTGGCAAAGTGGATAGAGCACTGGCCCTGAAGTCAAGAGGACCTGAGTTCAAATCCAGTCTCAGACACATAACACTCACTAGCTGTGTGGCTCTGGGCAAGTCACTTAACCCTAATTGCCTCATTGAAAAAAAAAAAAGTTTTTCTGAATCTCTTGTTAAAATTATATGATTTTTTTGTTTTGTTATAACTAATATGGTCAATTATATTTATAGTTTTCCTGATGTTGAACCAACTTTTCATTCTTGGTATAATTTTGACCTAGTTGTGGTATATACTTTTGTGATGTATTACTAATATTTTATTTATGATTTTTATATCAATATTCATTATGAATATTGGTCTATAATTTTCCCTCTCTTTTCCTACTCCTAATTTAGGTATTAAGTCTAAATTTATATCGTAGAAGAAATTTGAGCCACTCTTTTTTTCATTTTTCAAATACTTTATGCAATATTGGAATGAATTGTTCTTTAAACATTTCAAAAAATTTGCTTATGTGAATGGAGTTTTTTCTTTGGGAGTTGATTATAGCTTGTTCAATTTCTTTTTCTGAGATTGGGCTTTTTATATACTCTATTTCTTTTCTATTAATATGAACATTTTATATTTTGTCAACATACATTCATTTAATTCATATTGTAATTTTTATTGGCATATAATTGAGTAAAATAATATTTGATAACTTTTAAAATTCTTCACTGGTCATATATTCACTTTGTTTCATTTTGATGTTGGTAATTTGGATTTCTTTTTTTTTAAACCAAGTTAGATAATGGTTTATCTGTTTTATTTTTTTCTTCAAAAACAATATTTTCTTCATTTTTCGGGAATGTGCCTTTTTCATTTTTGATAGTAGTAATTTAGTTTTCTTTCTTTTAAAAGGGATACTGAAGCGACAGAGTAGATAGAATGGGGGCCTGGAGTCAGGCAGACCTAAGTTTAAATTTGACCTCAGATACTTACTGGCTACATGACCTTGGACAAGTCACTTAACCTCCATTTGCCTCAGTTTCCTCATCTTTAAAATAGGGATAATAATAATAATATACTAATAGCACCTACATTACAGTGTTGTTGTGAGGATCAAATGAGGTAATATTTCCAAAATGCTTAGCATAGTGTCTGACACATAGTAAGCACTGTATAAATGTTAGCTAGTAAAAAATAATAAAAAAAGGGAGAGAAAAAAATAAATGTTACCTATTATTATTAGCTTTTTAAAAATCAAAATGAGTAAATTTTATTATTCAGAAATGATTCCTAGTTTTATTAATTTAGTATGGGGGAGGGGTTTCCTTTTCAATTGCGTTAATTTTTATTTGATTTTCAAGATTCTATTTTGGTGTTTAATTGGATCTTTAAAATGTTTGTTTCCTCATTGTTTTAGCTTGCATTCCAAATGTATTGATCTATTCTTTCTCTCCTTTGTGTGTTTGATATTTCTCCTTTTCTGCTGTTGCATGTGAGTTTTTTTAAGCTCTAATACTTGGTCAGTTTTTATAAAGAATATGTAACATATGTATGTTATGTGTGTATTGACACACTCATATCTACTGGTAGGTCCTCATTCAGTTTGCATGATTCAAGGTATGAAGTTATCCTAGCTAGACCCTATCACCAGTGTCCGCAGACCTAAAGAGGTCTATCTCTCTGTGTTGACCTGTGCCGGAATAAATGACTCCCTTGATTTGTTTTCTTGGATTTCCTGATTAGAACCTGGACTGGTACTTTTTTCTAGATCTTTGTAAGTAGTTGTAAGAGCTAAGTTATACTAATTTCTCTTACTCTGCATCTTGACCGGGTACCTGTTTTTCAGAACAATGTAACAGCATTAAATATTACTGCTTTCAGGGACACATTATATTATATTATATTATATTAATATATACATATTATACTTTGAACTCTTTGTGACTTTATCTGTCTGGTACAGATTACACCACTGTGTCTTTCTAATTATGAACCCTTCTGAAATGAGGCTGGCACTGAGATGATGGACACAGTCTACACCTGTATTTTATGCTTATTTATCTTTTAGCAGCTCTTGGTGCTTGTTCTGTATAATTATAGTCCTGAAGAACCCAGTGACACCTCTGATATAAGACAAAATATTGTAGTGGACACAAAGTAGAGAGAAGTTCATGTATACATAATGTACAGAAAATAAATCTTTTTTAGATTCATTTGAAATTGCCTTCGATGTGATCAATGTAATTATTTTATGCTTTATTGCTAATGACATTAGATGTCATAAAGCTCTATTTTTCTTTTGGTAGGTATATGCTGGGCCTTTCAGCTATCCCAGCAATAATACAGTTCCTTGGATTTCTCTTTCTACCGGAAAGCCCAAGATGGCTTATTCAGAAAGGACAGACTCAGAAAGCTCGGAGAATTTTGTCACAGATCCGAGGCAACCAGACAATTGATGAGGAATATGATAGTATCAAAAACAATATTGAAGAGGAGGAAAAAGAAGTTGGTTCAGGTATGTTACTTTTACAGTTGTATTTTTTGCATCAAAAGAACATAGAATGATTTCATTCTTACATTGTATTCTTTTAGTAATATGATATCTCTAAATTACATGGTGTATAGCCTTCTACAAGATCTAAGGTAATAGGATTATAGAGCTAGAGCAAAAAAAGAGACCTTAATGATGATGTTCAGTCATTTTTCAGTAATATCTGCCTCATCAGGGCATTTTCTTGGCAAAGATATTGGAGTGATTTGCCATTTCCTTTTTCAGCTCATTTTACAGATGAGGAAACTGAGACAAACAGGATTAAGTTATTTGCCCACTGTCGCACAGCTAGTAAGTGTCTGGGGCCAGATATGAACTTGGGAAGATGTCTTCCTGATTCCAGGCTTAGCATTTTACCCACTGCACCATCTCATTGCCCTAAAGGAGACCTTTGAGGTCATCTACTCTAACCTTCTCAATTTATAGATAAGGAAATTGAGACCTAGATAGTACTAATTATTTACCTAGTTCACACATCTTAGTCGTCAGACTACAAATCCATCCTCTTTTCCACTAAATATATAGCCAAGCCAAAATGAATTATTGATTTGAATAATAATAACTCATTTGTTCATTACTTTAATGTTTGTGAACAGTTTTATGTATATATATACTATATACTACATAGAATTTCATTCTATTTCATATTAATCATTGTAGTTAAAAGTTAAATGGCTATTTTATATTTAAATTAACTTCCATGGTAACAATTCTGTGCCATAGGAATTACTTTGTGTAGTAGGTATTATTTCAGTTTCAATTTTATTTTTACATTGTAGCATAATTATATGCCATCACAATCATATACCATAACTTGTTCAGTGATTCCCCAATTGATTGGCATCCCCTCAATGTCCAATTTGTTGCCACCACAAAAAGAACTGCTATAAATATTTTTGTACATATAGGTCCTTTTCTTTTTTGTTTAATTTCTTTGGAATACAGATCTAGTAATGGTATTGCAGGGTTAAAGGGTATGCACAGTTATATAGCTCCTTGGACAGAGTTCTAAATTGATCTCTAGAATGGTTGGATAAGTTCACAACTATCCCAACATTAGTGTCCCAATTTTCCCACGTCCCTTCCAGCATTTATCCTTTTCCTTTTCTGTCATATTAACCAATCTGATAGTTGTGAGGTGGTACTCAGAGGTGTTTTAATTTGCATTTTTCTAATCAATAGTGATTTAGAGCATTTTTCATATGACAATAGATAGCTTTGATTTCTTCATCTGAAAACTGCCTGTTCATATCCTGTGACCATTTCTCAATTGGAGAATGACTTGTTCTTATAAATTTGCTCAGTTCTCTGTATATTTGAGAAATGGGATGTTTATCAGATACACTTGCTGTAAAATGTTTTTCTCATTTTTCTGCTTTCCTTCTAACCTTGGCTGCATTGGTTTTGTTTGTGCAAAACCTTTTTACTTTAATATAAATAAAATTATCCATTTTTATTTCCTGTAATCTCTTTCTCTTGTTTGGTATTGAATTCTTCCCTTCTCTATAGATCTGACAGATAAACTACTCCATTCTCCCTTAATTTGCTAATGGTATCATCCTTTATATCTAAATGATGTACCCATTTTGATCTTATCTTCGTATAGGGTGTAGGATATTGGTCTAAACCTAGTTTCTTCCAGCCTGCTCTCCAGTTTTCCCAAATAGTGAGTTCTTGTCCAAAAAGCTTGGATCTTTGCATTTATCAAGCACTAGATTACTATGGTCATTTACTACTGTGTATTGTGAACCTTTTTTATTTCACTATTCCACCACTGTATTTCTTAGCCAGTACCAGAATGTTTTCATGGTTACCACTTTGCAGTACAGTTTGAGATCTGGTACTCCTTGACAACCTTCCTTCACAATTAGAAAATAATTAATTTCCTTAATATTCTTGATTTTCTATTCTTTTGGATGAATTATATTATGATCTTTTTCTTCTTTATAAAATTATTTTGGTCATTTGGTTTGTATGATTCTGAATGAACTTAGGTAGAATTATAAAAATAATAGTTATTATTATTATACTAGCTGTACCCATGAGAAATTAATATTTCTCCAGTTGTTTAGATCTGTCTTTATGTGTGTGAAAAGAGTTTTATAATTGTGTTCATATACTCTTGGCAGGTAGGCTCCCAAGTATTTTACATAGTTTCTAGTTATTTTAAAAGGCAGGTAGGTGGTGCAGTAGAGTACAAAGCCTAGAGTGAGGAAGACTTATCTTCCTTAGTTTAAATCTGACCTCAGACACTTACTAGCTTTGTACCATGGGCAAACCACTATACACAGTTTCCCTTGGTTTCTTCATTTCTAAAATGATTTGGAAAAGCAAATGGCAAACCACTCCAGTATGTTTGCCAAGAAAACCCCAAATGAAGTAAAAAAGTAAAAAAAAAAAAAAGACTAAAAAATGACTGAACAACAACAACAACATATATTTATTTTAAATGGAATTTCTCTTTCTATCTCTTGTTGCTGGAATTTGTTAGTAATGTATAGAAATGTTGATGATTTATGTGTATGTATTTTATATACTACAACTTTGCTAAAGTTGTTAATTATTTCAAGTAGTTTTTTAGTTGATTCTCTAGGATTCTCTAAGTATATTATCATACTGTTTGCAAAGAGTGACAGTTTTGTTTTCTTATTGCTTATTCTATTTTTTTCAATTATTTTCTTATCTTTTTCTTGTATTATGGCTTCTATAGCTACATGTGGATGTATGCCTATACATTCATTTCTAGTGCAATATTAAATAATAGTGGTGATAATGAGCATCCCTGCCTGTCTACTCATCTTATTGGGAAGTCTTCTCACTTATTCTCATTACAGATAATGCTTGCTAATGTCTTTAGATAGATACTACTTATCATTTTAAGGAAAGCGCCATTTATTCCTATGCTTTCTATTGTTTTAAATAGAAATCCGGGTGGTATTTTGTCAAAAAGGTTTTCTGCATCTATTGAGATTATCATATGATTTTGTTGGTTTTGTCATGGATACGGAAAATTATGCTGATCATTTTTCTAATATTGAACCAATCGTTCATTCCTCATATACATACCACCTGGTCTTAGTGTATGATTTTTGTTATATATTGTTGTAATCTTCTTGCTAGTATTTAGTTTACAATTTTGCATCAATATGCATCAGAAAATTGTCTATAGTTTTCTTTGTTTTTGCTCTTCCTGGTTTAGCTATCAGTACCATATTTGCATCATAAAAGGAATTTGGTAGGACTCCTTCTTTGCCTACTTTTCCAAGTAGTTTATAAAGTATTGGATTAAATTGTTTTCTAAAATTTTGGTAGAATTCACTTGCAAATCCATCTGGTCCTAGGGATTTGTTCTTAGGAAGCTCATTTATGACTTGTTCAATTTTTTTTATGAAGATAGAGTTTTCTATTTCTTCTTCTATTAATCCATGTAATTTATATTTTTGTAAATATTTATCCATTTAACTTAAATTGTTAAATTAATTGGCATATAATTGGGTAAAATAGTTACTAATAATTGCTTTAATTTCCTCTTCATTGGTAGTGATTTCAACATTTTCATTTTTGCTACTGGATATTTGGTTTTCATCTTTCTTTTCTAATCAGATTAATTGGTCTCTTATTTTTTCCCCATGAAAACAGCTCTAGTTTCATTTTTAGTTGAATTGTTTTCTTTTAATTATATTAATTTCTCCTTTGATTTTTAGGATTTCAAATTAATTTGTAATTGCAGATTTAAAATTTGTTCTTTTTTATTCATTCATTCATTCGTTTACTTATTTATTTATTTATTTTTAGTGAGGCAATCGGGGTTAAGTGACTTGCTCAAGGTCACACAGCTGGTACATGTGAAGTGTTTGGTCTGAGGCCAGATTTGAACTCAGGTCCTCCTGACTTCAGGGCCGGTGCTCTATCCACTGTGCCATCTAGCTGCCCCTAATTTATTTTTAAACAAAAAAACCCAAACATTTATTTTTAGTTTTCAACAGTCACTTCCATAAGCTTTTGAGTTTTAAACTTTGCTCCCCCACCCTCCCTACCTCTCTCCCCAAGACAGCGTGCAGTTTGATGTAGGCTCTACATATACATTCCTATTAAATGTATTTTCACATTAGTCATGTTGTAAGGAAGAATTAGAACCAATAGGAAGAACCACCAGAAAGAGGAAACAAAACAAAACAGAAGAAAAAAAAAAGAGCAAATAGTATGCTTCGATCTGTATTCAAACTCCATAGTTATTTCTCTGGATGTGGATAACATTTTCCATCATGAGACTTTTGGAGATATCTGAGATCTTTGCATCGCTGAGAAGGGCTTCGTCTGTCAAAGTTAGTAATCAGACAGTGTGGCTATTACTGTGTACAGTGTTTTACTGGTTCTGCTCTCTTCACTCAGCATTAGTCCAAACAAGCCTTTCCAGGTTTTTGTGAAGTCTGCCTGCTTATCATTTTTTATAGCACAATAGTATTCCATTATATTTGTATGCCACAGTTTATTCTGCCATTCCCCAGTTGGGCATCCCCTCAAATTCCAATTCTTTGCCACCACAGATAAAGCTGCTGTAAATATTTTTATACACGTGGGTCTTTTCCCCATTTTTATGATCTCTTTGGGACACAGCCCTAGAAGTGTTATTGCTGAATCAAAGGATATGTACATTTGATAGCCCTTTGGGCATAGTTACAAATTGCTCTCCAAAATGGTTGGATCAGTTCACAACTCCACCAACAATGCATTAGTGTTCCAATTTTCCCATATTTTCTCTAACATTTATCATTTTCCTGTTTTGTCCTGTTGGCCAATCTGATAGGTGTGATGTAGTATCTGAGAGCTGTTTTGATTTGCATTTCTCTAATCAATAGTGATTTAGAGCATTTTTTCACATGACTATAGATGGCTTTAATTTCTTCATCTGAAAACTGCCTGTTCTTATCCTTTGACCATTTCTCAATTGGGGAATGACTTGT